GAGCACCCCCGCGTCCTCCGAGCGTCCTCCGGGCATCGTCCGAGCATCCTCCGAGCATTCCCGCGTCCTCCGAGCATCCCGCGTCCCGCCTTGCCTTCGCTCTCTGCGACCGACCTGGGAAGCAGCTGCCCCCGCCGCGGTGCAGCCCTTCCCCAGCGCCTGCCGTGGCACGGGGAGATTGTCGCCGGGAGCCCGGCTCGCCTGGGGAAAAAATAAGAAGTGAGGTCTTTAAATCCCCAACCCCCTCCCCCGGTATTTTCTAGCTACAGCCAACCATTTACAGCTAACTGCTGAACGATCCAGCGGTTACAAACATGGAGGCACTTCACGGTCATTAACTAATTAACAGTCAGAACAGCCTTGTGAGATAGTCACGGCAGTCCTGGCCAGGGGAGAGCAGCAGCTCGTCCCAAGGCTGCAGCAGAGCCGGCTGGGGCCAGCGCGCCGCCCGCAGCCCCCACCTCAGCCCAGGGGCTATTTTAGGCTGCAGCACCGGCCTTATTAAAGGCTTGGACAGTCACCCAGGCGAGCCCCAGCACGTCCCCTCCACCTCCCTCCCAAGAGAAGCTGCGTCCCCTGGCACAGCCCGCAGCAGGGAGCCGCAGGGCTCTGGGGCTTTGGAGCCCGGTGTCCCAGCCCCGTGCTGGGGGCAAGGGCAAATGCCACCCTGGGAGCTGCTGCTGCTGCCACACAGCCCCTTCAGCCACAGGGACATCGTCTCTGGGTAGGCTGATTTGTAACCAGGAGAAGGTAAATTAGAAGCAGCTCTACCAGCCTGGTTTTTAAAAGAATGTCCTTAAAATACCTGGCAGATGCTGAGCACATGGTCTGTGGTTATGGTGTCTCAGCGCCTTTACCTTGCAAATATCAAACCCTTTTCCTGAGACGTTTGCTTCTGTTGCCAAATCTAGTCTGAAAAATTCAATTGGGAGTTAGTAAGAAGTGCAGGTTGCAAGGTGCTGGGGGACTGTTTTCACTCACTTCATTGCTGGAAAGAGCGACCTTCCTGCAGCCTCCCAAGCCCAGCACACAGGTGACCAGCTGGGGCAGTTTTACAGCCTGGCTGACCTCGGTTTCTCTGATTACTGTAACACCATCCCCAGCTCCCAGCCTGCTGTGCAGCCTTTGAACTGGGCCCTTCTGGGGCTGGAGAAGGATGGGTTACACTTCCAGTGCCAGGCACACACCGGGGAGGGATGGGGGCTTATCCAGGGAGAAAAGGAGTGGTCGCTGATAGGGGCTGCAAAGGAAGGACAGAATGGGGCAGTGGGAACCTCTAGGGTCCAGTTGAGTCCTTGATCTTACTTTCTGAGGTCTTCTGTCACCTCAGCCCCAGAGCCAGCTCTGAGCTTGCCCGTTCTTCTGCCAGCACAGGAGGTTGTGTGCTGTTGAGAGAGGAAACTTGGCAGGAGCTGGGATCCTGAACCGGGCTGGAGCGAGTCCTCTGTGATCAGCCACGCTCAGACAGCCAGGGAGCTGCAAGAAGATACCTGCGACACTGCATCTTCTCCAGCACTGGAGCCTTCCTGACCACTTACCCTTTGCAGCCTTATGAAAACACCAACGTATTTTGAGCCACTCCAGGTGGCCACTGGTCCCCGCGAGGAAAGCCCTGGCCCTGCAGGGAGATGGTTCCTCAGTGGTGTTCAGCAGCAGGACAGACTTTCATGACGAGTCCTGGGAATCTGCAGACACAGTTCTAATGGCAGGGGTGAGCTCTTTTGGCAGGATGGTGTGAAAGGCACCAATTCCAGTAAGAGCTAAAGGGGGGATGCATTCACAACTTCTTCCCTCCTTCCTTGGCGTCCAGCGTATTTCTAAACTAATTAATGCATGATCTATAATTTGTTGTTGATTATGGCAGGTCAAGTTGGGAGCTTCCAGACCTACTGGACGGTAAAATCCAGGCCATCAGCGATTCAGATGGAGTGAACTATCCCTGGTATGGAAACACGACAGAAACCTGCACCATCGTGGGGCCCACCAAGAAGGAGTCCAAGTTCAACATCAGCATGAACGACAACTTCTACCCGAGCGTGACGTGGGCAGTGCCCGTCAGCGAGAGCAACGTGGCCAAGCTCACCAGCATTCACCGGGATCAGAGCTTCACCACCTGGCTGGTTGCAACCAACACGGCTACCAATGAAATGGTGACCTTGCAGACTATCAAGTGGCGCATGCGGCTGGGCATCGAGGTGAATCCCAGCAGACCCCTGGGGCAGCGTGCCAAGCTGCAGGAGCCCTCTGCTCAAGAGCAGCCCCAGGTCCTTAGCAAGAATGAGCCAATACCACCCAGTGCCCTTGTCAAACCCAATGCCAATGATGCTCAGGTACTCATGTGGAGGCCAAAGGATGGACCACCACTTGTGGTGATACCTCCAAAACATCGACAATAGAAACCTGGCGTCCCGGCACTGAAAGGGAGAAAACGAAAATACCCGAAGCAGAACAATCACTTAGGGATTAGAATACACACATATAATCTGAGCAAAATCAAAATGCACTTTTTAGTCATTCAACAAATGCAACCATTCTACCTTCTCCCATTGGGACGGATTTCACTGTGCTAAAGCTAAAGAGGAGACCTTTGACTGGGGTCTGTCTCATCACTGGATTCCTAAGGGAAGAAACTAACACTGATGTCTACCCCTAGAGCTTTCTTTTTTTCTTCCCTACTTTAGTTACTGTTTGACCTTCAGTCTCATTAGCTTGTCCAGACTGCCCAGAACAATAAGAACATTTGAGTTGGGATTTTAAGAGTCTTTTTTTCTTTTTCTTTTTTTTTTTTTATTTTTTTGGGTGAGAACGAAACAAGTTCCTGGAGCAAAAAGTTGACTATTTAAGATAAGGGTTTTATTATTTTTTTTTTTTAAGCTGTAAGGTTCTGAGTTGCAAATCCAAGTCATGCGGCCTTATGTAGACTTTGCTTTGCATTGCCAAACTTTTGCCTTAAAGCTATGTTTGAAAAAAAAAAAAACAAAACAACAAAACACCACCAGGCAGAATGTCCTTTCTATGGAATTTTTGGGAGAAAGTTTTTGGAATAAGGAGTAGATTATCAGTGTGTTACGGGCTGATGGATGAAAAGGGCATCAAGTTGGAAGAAGCGTGATAAAAAGAAAAATCTTCCTGGTTTTAAAACCTGGAACAAGGAAGCATGGAAATAATCTCAGTTCAAAGCAATGCAAATAACAAACCTGCTGAAGGATGTCTCTCGAGTGGGAGCTACGAGGCCATCTCCCTGCTTCGCAGAACGGGTAGCAAGCGAGCTTGCACTGCTTACACTGCTGATCTCAGTCTCCCGTTAGCTTTATAACGTGGGATGATCTCACAGCTGGAATTGCAGCCCTGGGAATCAACAGAAATCGAGAGGGGGGGATATCCCACTGGATATCTTTGCCTTTAGGACACGCAGATGTTCGTCCAGCTTGTCCCTGGTCTCACCTTCACATGGTGTCAAAGCCAACAGCTCGTGCAGAGGCTGTTGTTGGGTGAAGTTCTGTGAAGTTCTGTTGCCCCCTTTTCCCATGAAATCCAAGTGACGGTGCTGTAAGAAGAGCAGGATATAAAAAGGATCCTTCTGAAATCATTGGAGATGCATGGGTGTAAGCGAGGGCAGATCTATCTACCCAGCCTACCCAGCAATATCCATAATTCAGGAGCAGCCACATCTGAAAATAACAGGCACCCATTCCTAGCAAACTCTAGACGCAAACACTGAACAAACTCTTCTTCCCATGATGAAAAATCACGTTGGGGTCAGTAGATAATTTTCTTCCAAATGACCTTGTGATCTACAGGGCTGTCAGGAATGGGACACAGGGAGGACCACGGGTGGTTCTGTACCTGTCTGGTTAGGGCACCAACATCTATGTAGCAAAGGGTAACACATGAGAAGGTGCAGACAGGGCAACACCCGAGTCTTGGGTGTAGATCCTCCAGTGAGGAAGGTGCATTTGGAGCAGGAGAAGGTAGAACCTGTAGGTTTTGATAAGGACCTTGTCCAGATGGCTTCAGAGATAATCAGATGCACTTCTGCAGAGGAAGGCGGCACGGAGGAGACGTTTGAATGGGAGGAAGTTCTGCTGCAGAGGTGGCATCTGGAGGACAGGGCACAGGACGGGGAGAGGAGGATCTGCTCTCCTGCTGCAGCACATGGCCCGAGGCAGATCACTTCCCCTTCCCCCTGCAGCTCTTTCCCCTAGATAACATTTCTTCCTCTTATTAACAATCTGCCTCGAGCTGGGACTGAGGAGCTCGGCGTGCCAGCTGCAAGCCTGGCCCCGCTGAGCGGGTCTGAACAGGTCTCACAACCACACGTGCTGCTCAGAAGGCTCTCTCCTCGGAGAGGCACCACTTAGCTGCTATTGCCATCCTCATCTTCCACACAGGACGTTACCAGCAAGAACTTCTCCTTCCTCACTTCTCCAAAGCCACACCGTCTACTACCACAACAGGTTCAGCCTCACCCCCAGCCTGGGGAAGGTGCACCCAGAAGACATGCCCCTCACCCTGAGAGAGTCTCAAACCAGCAAACGAGGATCCTGGGGCCCTGCAGCTGTCCCCCCGTTCCCAGGGGAGCCTGCCCTCCTCCACGCACCGCTTCTCAGCCACGGAGCTCTTCTCTCCAACGGGCAGGTCTCTGAGGTAGGAAATCCAGCATTAGGAGCAGCTTGCAAACAAATGGACTGGATCAAATCCAAATCCACAAGCCAAAGGTTGCCTAAATCTAGGCTTTGGGACTACAAAGGATGAAGCTGGGGAGACTTTGACTTGCACAGTCACTCTCTGTATTAAACTCCACTTTCTTACACAGATTCAGATCCTAACTATAGCTCTACTGGTACAGCCCTTTGGGACCTGTCTGTATTTTCTCCTAGGCAATACATGCAGAAGAGGACAAAATGTGAGCTGTGGGTGAATAGCTGATAACACTTGCACGCACCACGGCTCCTGTGCAGATGCACTTCTGGGCAGTCCCACGGGTGGGAGCAGAAGGGGTATTTATGGCTGGTATTCACTTTGTCTCCAGGTGCTGAGTACTTACAGTTCTCACTGATGTTAGCATGGGTCAAAGAAATTGGACCCAGTTGTCTTAATTAGCTGCACGAAGGAATTCCAAGGAAAGATTTCTTCTCCTCAGCCACCAAAAACCACATTCAGGGAACACCTACGTCCTTTTCCACTTAGCTTTGTGTTGGACTTAGTCTCCCAGTGCATTAGGTAAATCTGGTTCCTCCTCCTCCCCTTACCTGGCGGACTGGATGCATCCATGCAATTTGATAGTAACCTCCTGGCTAATTTGTCCCGTTGCACTGAACAGACCCAGCTAAGCAGTAAATACAGAATTCAAACGTCACGTTGGGGTCAGCTTTGCATGGACTTCTCCCTTCCCAAAGAATGCCTTTATCCCGTGCCTAGGTTGAACGTGCCCCTCCACCTCCATTCGCGTCACCAGACCCGGCGTAGGAAAGTGATGCTGCCTCTCGATTAAACCTGATGATTTTCCAGTGCTGCTTCATTGCAAAGCTGACAGGGGCAGATCGGATACGGGGGGACCGGTGGCTGGAAGTCACAGGTGCTACAGAATCGCTACTGCTCCGGCTGCTCAAGGGCCGTGTGGTTAGAACGGGGCTGGCAGCGTCCCAGCCGGGGCTTGAACGGGACCTGGGGCACCCTGCACCCGGGGAGGCAGGAGGTAAGCGGAGGTGAATAAAGCTCCTCCTCTGGCAGCGTTCTGCAGAGCCAGGAGCGCACACGGGATGCGCCGGGCGGCGCTGGGGCAGCCAGGCGGGGGAGCGATGCGGGGGAGCGGT